CCTCAACTCGCTGTAAATGTGCATCAGACGGTAGGCTGGTTTTAGCAGAGTTTTATAATGGATGCTGCCATACATTACATTGTATTAAGTTATATTCTATAACAAACAAATAAACAAACACCAAACAAACAAACACACACACACACACACAAACAAACAATGTCTTACCAAGTTTGTGGTTTTTCCAAAAAATCCTGTATGACTCCAGGTTCATTCTGACCTTCATCTGTTTGTTTGTGGACATCAAGTTTTAACAACTTTATTACAATTTTCCGTAACAAATTTGCATTATTTCCATTTTTAAAAACAAAAGTTATTTGCCAAATCTATAGATTTTACGGGAAACTTGAATTTCACAAGCAATTCAGCAACAACGCGCGCACACACACACAAACAAACACACAAACAAACATTGAAATTCTTCCGAATGTCATTTTATTAGGATTATAATGCCAGCACACGATTTGGTTTCAAAATTTTTTAAATAATCTTTATAGATTCAATGCTTTGCATGTTGGATGAAATTATATTTTGTTCATTGGAATGGGGCATAAAAACAAAGTGTAATTATGAATATTCAAATAAGTAACTTATTACTTTAATGCAACAAAAGTGTTGCGTGCAGGTTAACTTCATCTGTTGACTCTTACCTAAGCCGCTGTATGGAGGAAGAAATAAAAATATTGGTTTTATTATTTCAATTATAAAAATCCTGTGAATAAACTATGAAAAAATAAATAAAATAAAATTTTATATTTTTGCCTCTTTTTTGAAAACCGTAGCGTTTGAAGCTTTGAATCTGAGCCGTTGTTTTTGCATGGGTGGAGAGTTTAAAACAAAAATGTCGAACGTCAATTTTCTAAGTGTTGTTTAACGCATTTTGTTTAGTTTTAAATAAAACTAACTGATTCATTGAAAAATCGTTTTATGATTATCATTTCGAATTGTTATAATATTGAAAAAATGCCAATCATCAAAATAATAGCTAGAAATACTAACAATAAAACTTTTAGCAAATAAATAACAACTAAGGGAGTCATAAATTTACTTCAATATTTCAAACTATGCTTTGAATTATTTGTTCCGATTTGTTATTTATTCCATAAAATGTAAAAAAGAAAAAGGGTTTATATTCTGAATGAAAAAGTGCTGATAGAATACATTAGAATAATTAATTCTACAACAAAAGTCTCCGTGATGGTTAATGGTAACACATTATTACACACGATGATAATAAATTATATTTCGTTAGCATTATAATAGTAAATAGAACTAAATTTAATTTGAGCACTTGACATATCATAAATATTGGATTTAAATTTCTTAATTGATTGAGAAAGCAGCCCTTGAGAACATTCGTTGCCCGAGGCAGTGAACCATCAACATGAGACTTTCAAACACTGCCTCACTAATGGCTACGTGCATGCATCCAACTTAAACCATATACATTAAACAATTGAATGTCAACAACTCAATAAATTCAAATTTATTATCATTCATACGAATGTACATTTATACAAATTTATTAACCATTTATACGAATGTACATACATACAGAATGTAAGACGTTTAAGTTTATTCTCAAATGTTCCGTACGCTGATAAGTTTACGCATCTTTTTGTATTCATTTATTGTTCAGATTGTTTTGTTTGTATACGGAAAATAAAATTAGCCTCGTAATTTTAATGTAATTTTTTAAAATGTTTTGTTCTTTTAATTGTAATAATCTTAAGAACATTGCTTAATAAAGAATGTTTTTGCATTTAAATTCAACAATTTGACAATTTGAATTCAACAATCCGAATTTAACAATTTAAATTCAAAAATTCATACACAATTAAAAATGACATGCTGACATGTTCCATAAAGGCCACATTCTATATCTATTGATGTTTATTAGTGTTGTCATGTTTTCAAAATGTTTAGAGTTGAAGCTTCATCAAATGATTGCGAAATTGAAACTTCATACTTTAACATGCGCCACGAAGTTCATGACATGAAGCATATTATTACAACATCAAATTCACCAACTTGAAAAACAAAGCACGCAATGCTTATCTGTTAACTCCATTTTTCAAACGACCTTAAACCTTTAATGGTCGAAAATTATACACCTTATAAGAGAATAGAGAAAACGATGGAAACGATACGATATTTATCATTTCAAGTAATCTTCTACTTTTCATACCAGGTAACATTTATATATATATATATATATTTAAATGTTCTCTCTCTCTCTCTTTCTCTCTCTCTCTCTCTCTCTCTCTCTCTCTCTATATATATATATATATATATATATATAGAGTATTGTATGAACTCTACCGAACTGTTTGCATTAATCAATTAAAAGTTTGAAAAGACAAAATATAAATTGAATAATACCAACAATTCGGTAGAATTCATACAATACTATATATATACATAATATATATATATAATACGCACACACGCCTATATTGGACATTCAGCGAGACTAATTAAACGTGTGATCGACAAGCAACAACCAAGTAAAGTACAAAATGGAAATAGAAATATTATATATCATAATTGAATCATTATGTTGATAAACATGACATGCGATTTTTTACTTAATTTTCTGTTTGCTTAATTTTCACTAACAATGTGTTTTGACTTTTTGAGAGCGCTTTATATAGCGCTTTATATATTTTTTTTCATACAGCTGAAAAATAAATTTTGTGTTAAATATTTTTTTAATTTTTTTAAACGATTATAAATATCATTTTTAATGAGAACACCATTTTTTTAAATCAAGTAAAGCATTAATGAAATAAAATAAAATCCAATAAAACATAATGAAATGAAATCTAATAATCTAATCTTAATAGTAACACAAAGAGAAATAAGTTTTAAACAAGTGATTGATTATTCATTACTGTTCTTCATTTGAAAATCAGTGCAATGATGATTAATAGTTTAGAGGAATGGTTAATGCATTGTTTCTCTCGAAATATACAGCAAGGATTATGATATCGGCAATTAATTAAGTCATTATAATAATAAAATCAGCCTGACTATTTTTAAATAAAAATAACAGTTAAAAGAATTCTAAAAACCTATAGATGTTATTTCAAAAGTTTTATTAAAAAGTTAAAAAGTAATTTTTAAATTCCAAAGTTGCCATTTTAGTGTTAATGGATGGTTTGTTGTAATTCTCTATCTATGAATTCTCTACTTGATTATAGGTTGTAGCTGTTAGAGATGTAAGGTGTAATTATTTTGTTGAAGATTTTGGCAATGGGGTAAGTGATCGCAGGTCGTAGAGGGTTGTTAGCTTTATGTGCTTTGACCGTTTGTAATTGGAGGTATTTAAAGCACCACAAATTTGATTGATTCTCCTGATGAGGAACATGCAGCTCCCTCCTAGATAATGACTTGATGTGTTGTCTCAATTTCAAATTTCTATCAACCATTTTATGGTCAACGCAATCAAACGCCGAACTCATATCAAGAAAAGCAGTTAGCGATATATTTTGAGTATCAATAGCTGAATAGACTTCAGAAAGAACCTGAAGTAGAGCTGTCTCTGTGGAACGAAACTGCCTAAAACCCGATTGATGAGCAGGCAGGTGCTTGTATCAGTTGCATCCAGATTGTACAGGTAATACAATGGCATGTTTGCACTGTAATGGAAAATTACCCAACCTTAAACATAGATTTACTAAACTTGTCAGAAATGGAGCAAACAGCAAATTGATATGCTTTTTGATGATAAAGGTCGGAAAAATATTTTGCTGACGAGAATTAGTCGGTAAGTTCTGAATTTCCTTTTTAATGTCTTCATCAGTAACAGTTTCAAACGTAAAAAATATCCTTTCTAGTTTAACCTCTGGAACATAAAAATTCAAATAATTTAAAGTTCCAGTATACCGCTTCGCATTAATTAATTTTTTCAACAAAGTAGTTCATAAATTGATTAGCCGTCAATTCTTTACAAGCACATCTAACTTTTTCATTACGAATTCTATATAGAATTGCATTTGTAACTTTCCAGAAACTTTTAGAACTGTTTTTGTTTTCATCAATGCTTCTACTCTCAAAACTTTTCATAGCTCTAATAAAATCATCAAATACGCTGACGACACCTACCTTATCATCCCATCATCTAACTCAAACACCATCCAATCAGAACTCGACTCATTAACCCCATGATCAAAACATTGCAATCTGTCACTTAACCTCAATAAATCATTCGAACACATCATTCACAATAGTCGTAAGAAAATAACATTACTTCCAGAATCACCCATCAATCACTCGCACAAATCAATTAAAAATATTAAGCATCACATTTACCTCTACGCTTAATGTAGCGCCTCATATTAATCACATCATCACAAAAGTTTTTCAAACATTTCACGCACTCAAAACACTCCGCTCACATGGTCTCAGAGACATCAAATTATTCGACATCACTGAATCGCTCGTCATCTCACACATCGAATGTGCAGCTCCCTCCTGGCCTGGTTTCGCTACACAACAACAACTTCAACAACTGCCATCTCTCATCAAAAAACTAATTTGCCTCAACTATCTACCTGCATCATATCCTACCGTCACTCAAATATTCAACGCACTCGATTCAAGACTGTTCAAGAAAGTAAAAAATAACAACAACCACGTCATCCAATTTCTACTACCACCAATCAAAACTACAACACACAACCTTCGTCAGCGCAAGCAAAACTATCAAGGAAACAACCCAATCTACATATCAGGAAAAGACCTTCATCACAAGACAACTCAAACATATTAGCACTCAATAAAACTTTATCATAAACCTGATTTTTTTTAAAGAATAACAAAAAAAATATTGTTATCCATTTTTAATATATATTATTTTTAGTTTTTATTCTGAATGTTTTGGATTTAATTATTTCATTTAATTGGAATATAATTGTTAAATTATTCTTAATCCAGTTTTTATTGATTCTGTACAGTTTTGTTGTTTTTTGAAGTTTATATAATATTTTGATTGCTAGGTAAAAGTTTGGTTTCAGAACAGACGAACGAAGCACAAGCGATCGAAGACGGATGACGATGATGACAACGACGATGACGACATCCCAAAAAGTTCTGCACCCTGCAACATTCCATTGTGCCGAGCCACCAGCCAGGAAGATGTTCTCGGGAAGATCAGTTGCGGCTTGGATGTTTCCGTCACGCATGGAACGACGGTTGCTGCTGCGGCGGTTGAAACGATGCAGATTGAGAAGCAGCAGCAGCATCAACTAGATCAACGACAACAACTACACCAAGACCGAGGACAAGGTAATCACAATCAACAATTTATTTCTAGCTCATCTGCTGAACGCACAACATATTCTAACAATCTTCAACAAACTCTTATTGGCCAGCCAGTTACGGATGAGTTACGACAGTCGCAACAGCAGCAAATGCAAAAACTGAACAAACCCCAACAACGACTTAAACACCAAAGTCAGGAAACCTCTTCAAAAAGGTTAAAGCTATCTCACCACGTCAACAGGTGGCGAGCAGATACAAATCAAATTTAAGTTTTAATTAAAATTGAAAGTCAATGTTGCCTGATTAGTTGTTTTTTTAACTTAATTTGTTTTTAACAATTTTTAGAACAAATAAAAATGACAATTTATTGAAAAAACTGTTAAACCAATTGTGAAAAATACTATTATACTGTCGAAAACTACCAAAAACTGGTTATAAAAAAGTTAGATATTATACTAAAGAACGGATACAAAATAAATAATTTTCATTATATATAATAAACATTCAAAAGTCAAATTTAAATAAATCTTAGGCATTAAGTGAAGCTTAAGAAGAACAAATAAACAGAGAACACGCATGTAAAAAATGAACATATTTATACAAACACCTATGTATTTTTGTATGTTATTAGTTAACGATGAAAAGAAACTTATAAAATGTTTTTTGTTAGACTTCATTTAAATAAAAATTAATTAAATCATCAAAAGTAACAAAAATTGCGAATGAATTCATCAAATTATTTATTAACTTCTCTTACCACTATAGACAAACAAACACACATAACACACAACACACCCAAAAAACGGATAAAAAAACCACACACATGCGGATACTCACATCCAAACTCAAACATTTAAAATATAACCACATACAAGCACCACACATACACCGAAACCTACACAATTACACACCCACACATACACAAACGTAAAATATAATAAATACTTCTCTATTTAAAAGTTTTCTCTGTTTTTGATTAGATAGTCATAATTGTTAGAAAAATATAAAAAATTGTTTTAATTATTAATTAACCATTGAAAAATTAAATGAATAAACAATTTATAATTATAAATAAATATATTTATAATTAAATAAATTGATGATTGAATAAAAAATGAATAAATAAATAGTATATATATGTGTATATATATATATATATATATATTGTGAAATTAGGATTTAGACCATATTCAATACAGTTTTCGAGAAAAATTTCGGCTGATTTTCTTGAAAACTGTATATATATATATATATATATATATATATATATATATATATATATATATATTAGTAGCCTGCATTTCAAAATAATTTTAGCACACGTTAATTGCAGCCATTCAGCAATATATATATATATATATATATATATGTATAGATATATATATATATTTATTTTTGGTAACAGACTATTGTTAACGCAACATTTCAAAAATTCAACACTACTTTCAACATTGTTCAACTTTTTCATATTTTTTTTTAATTTATTAATTTCCGAGAAATTAGACATTTTATTGTTTTTTTTAAATTTTTATTAAATAAATTTGCAAATAGCTATTTCGAGTTATAAATAACTCATCTTCAGTGCATTATATATAAGATATTTGATATAAAGGAACAAGTAATTATTAATTTATATAGATTATCTAATTAAAACAGAAAACCAATAAAGTAAATTTAATAACTATAAACAATATAAAACGCGATTTTTAAAATTTTTTCAAAATTTTTAACGGCAAGATTGTTTATATTATGGTTGTTAAGGTAAATATCAACGCTCAGCCGAGAAGCGCGAATTAATTTATTTAATTAACTATATATTATTAATATTATTTTGACAATATTTAAAAACATTATTATTATTATTATTGTTAACGTTATTATTATTATTATCATCGCTGTGGTTCTTCTTGCTTCTTGTGATGATGTTCCATTTGCAAGTGATATTTGCGCTGTGGGTTGTGGCGTTGGTATCTACATTGTTGCACTGTTATTGTTGTTATTGTTGTTATTGTTCATGCTATTGTTGTTGTTGTTGATGTTGTTGTTGGTGTTGTTGATGTTGTTGTTAGGGTTGTCACTATTGATGATGTTCCAATTGCAACTGATTATTGCGCTGTGGGTTGTAGCATTGGTATATACAATGTTGGCACTGTTGTTGTTGTTATTATTGATGTTGCTGTTGATGTTGTTGTTGGTGTTGTTGATGTTGTTGTTGAATTTGTCACTATTGGTATGATTGTTGTTTACATCATCAATATTGTTGGTGATAACATTGTTATAATTATTGCTGTTGTCGTAATTGTTGTTGTTATAATTATAATGATTGTTGTTTTTATTTAGTAGTCTATTTGAAGGTAGAATGTTGTTAGACTGTACTTGAATGTTCATGGAGGGATTTTGTCTTGTATGAAAATGATTCAGCTATTTTCATAACATCACTTTAACAGCATAACATCACTTTAACACGACACATGTTAAATAACACGCAAATAGTTTATTGCAATAACAACATCACAAACCTGAAAATAGTTATTTCGAGTTATAACCTAACAACAACATCAACAACACCAACAACAACATCAACAACAACAACAACAGCATGAACAATAACAACAACAACAGTGCCAACAATGTAGATACCAACGCCACAACCCACAGCGCAAATATCACTTGCAAATGGAACATCATCACAAGAAGCAAGAAGAACCACAGCGATGATAATAATAATAATAACGTTAACAATAATGATAATAATAATGTTTTTAAATATTGTCAAAATAATATTAATAATATATAGTTAATTAAATAAATTAATTCGCGCTTCTCGGCTGAGCGTTGATATTTACCTTAACAACCATAATATAAACAATCTTACCGTTAAAAATTTTAAAAAATTTTAAAAATCGCGTTTTATATTGTTTATAGTTATTAAATTTACTTTATTGGTTTTCTGTTTTAATTAAATAATTTATATAAATTAATAATTACTTGTTCCTTTATATCAAATATCTTACATACCTTATATATAATGCACTGAAGATGAGTTATTTATAACTCGAAATAGCTATTTGCAAATTTATTTAATAAAAATTTAAAAAAAAAACAATAAAATGTCTAATTTCTCGGAAATTAATAAATTAAAAAGAAATATGAAAAAGTTGATCAATGTTGAAAGTAGTGTTGAATTTTTGATATATATATATATATATATATATATATATATATATGGCTGAATATATATACATATATATATATATATATATATATATATATATATATATATATATATATATATATGACAAACTGATGCTATTAATATTTTAAGTAAACAGGATATAATCATTAATAAAATTGAAAATATTACTCGCACTGCAATAAATTGATGATGCAAATTCTAACAGTTTGAAGGGTTCCTTAAAGTACAGGGACAGAATACAGATTGGTGATTCTGGCGGTTTTAAAAAAGTCCAAAGACGGAACAATTGGGTGAAGCATGAAGAAAAAGTACCGAGAGTTGTCATCGGTTTTCATTCAGCTAGTGATTCAAAAATTAAGGAGAATAAACCTATCGTTTTTAAGATATTTTTTCACATAAGCAACGTTCGGAACTGTTCTGCGTCTGATGTCACTGAGCATCTAAAGAAAATAGGAATCGAGACGTCTTCTTGTTACTCGTTATTCAAAAGAAAAGATGAGAAGGCAGAGCTTAATCATGATAATTTGTCAACGTCTTATCGACTATGCGTTCATCAGAGATATTCCAGCTTGGTCAACAGCGAAGATATCTGGCCTGAATACGTAAGGATCAGAGACTGGTTATTCAACAACAACCACAACAACAATAATGGGCATGATATGAAACCGACAACTATGTCTGACAATTAACTATTTTGTTAACACTTGCTTATAACTTATTCTTGATTAATTTGTGGTTTGCTTACTTTTTTACGATTGTATGAGAGCGCTTTGAGAAGTTTCTTTTAAAGACGCTATATAAGTGTGTGTGTGTGTGAGTATGTATGTGTATGGATTAGTTTTTTCAATAAACTTTAACTACAAGTGGCTTCGTTTTTGTTGCAATTTTTCTACTTCACTTGTTAATTTTTGCAGTTTGCCCGTCAGCAGTTCGTTTTCTTTCATGACTCTAATGTATCTCTCCTCAAGTTTTTGCTGGTATTGAACCACGGAACATTTTTCAGTTTGCCAGCATTTTTTTTCACGGTCTAAAAGTTTTTGGCAGCATTTCAACTTGTCTTCCAATATCTTGATTCTTCCGCGCTCGTTCTCTCCATCATCTTTCTTTTTTTCTACTTCATATTTCTCTTTAGTTGTTCTGATTTTATCTAATATCCTGCTGCTGTCAGCGAGACGATGGCGGTCTGCATCACAACTGGAAGCCGCCGTGGGATCACTTTTGCAACCAGTCTCATTTTCGAACATAATTAACTTTTTGTTAATTTGATTTGTAGTTACTCCATATTCATAAATATCGTTATCGCTTAAAAATTTATCTCTATCAACATGCTTCATACTTTTGACATCAGTACAATAATCAGCGCTGTTTTTGCCGTCGAAGTTGATATTGGAATTTTTAATTTCCTCAGCATAACGTCTGCCACAACAATCGCTGCAGCCATCGACACTGTGAGTGTTGGGACGCGTGGTCACTGATGAATTTTTGGTTTCACTTTTCTGGCTAAGCATGACGTTCACGATGCTGCTAGCCACTTTGTTGTTTGATGTTGTTGATTCGTTGATGGAGCTGTGGAAGGCTTTGTAGTCCTGCATTGCTAACAAAAATGTTTCAGGTATTATTTTTCGCAAAATGGTGTAATGGTTGAGAAAACTAATTTTGATAAAAGTTAAACTTACGATGATGTTTGCCTTTTGATTCGAGTGAATCGTGCCTCACCACCACGCCTGTTCCCTTCCACCATCTCTCTCGGTTTTGCTTCCTCTTTAAACATTTTGTGGAATTTTTAAAATTATTCTTACGTAAGAATAGAAAAAAATTTAAGCTTGGTTTTAAAAAAAATTAAAATTAATATTTTATTGTTAACTAAAATCAGTTGAAAGTATTTTTGTCATTAAGTTCAGAATGCTCATATAAACATTAAGAAGAAATATTTAAACAAATTAAAAACTATCGACATTAAAGTATAAAATATAATTTGTTAACATTTTTCTTTACTTCTTCGCTGTTCTGATGACTCATATTTTCTCGATCATAATCAAAATTGCATTCAAGATCATCATCATGACCCCCACCATATTTATTGCATGTGTAACCGCCACTTCCTGCTACCAAAGCGTTGTTGCTGATTTTGTAATCCTGTGAGAAATATCCTTCATCATGTCTCGCTTGAAAATTGGTGGAAATTCGATGGTCGTCCCAAACAATGTCATCATGGAATTTTTCATTTATTTTGTTCCAAGTTGTAGAAGGCGAAGAAGAAGAAGAAGATGGTGAGGACGATGTTTGATGTTCTTTTTTGTTCTTCTGAAAATATTCAAAGATACAATTAACTTGAAGCGTGGAAGATAATTACATTCCTGTTGTTGTGTTGTCACATCAAAGATTATACACGAGCACATTTTTAATTTACTGCAACTTTTAATATGCATAATTAAGCAATGAACTCATATGGTGAAAAGTTGAATTAATTAACTAATTAATTAATTAAATTATTTACTTATTTAGGTTACGTTGAAAAAAAAACAAAAAAAATATTAAACTGATTTTGTTGTTAAATATTTGAATTTTATTTTGAAATTAATTAATTTATTTTTTATTGTATAAATCAACGTTTTTAAAAATATCGAAAACGTTATCCAATAACAATCTGGCCTAGACGTTTAAGGTTTCCTGCATCGTCAAACATTGACAGACATATTGAACTATTTGCATAAAGAAATATCTTTTTAAGGAACTCATCAGCCTGGAACGAGTTAGGTGGTCACAATAATGCACCTTAGGTTGTGGAGGGAGATGGAGAACAATATGTATATTTATACGTACTTTTACGAGCCGTCGTACTTGCATAGCAGGTCGACTAAACCTCACCTATATGTTTCATTTGATATCCATTTATTTATTATATACATGCATACATATATATATATATGTATGTATGTATATATATATATATATATATATATATATATATATATATATATTTTGGTAACAGACTATTGTTAACGCAACATTTCAAAAATTCAACACTACTTTCAACATTGTTCAACTTTTTCATATTTCTTTTTAATTTATTAATTTCCGAGAAATTAAACATTTTATTTTATTTTTAAATTTTTATTAAATAAATTTGCAAATAGCTATATCGAGTTATAACCTAACAACAACATCAACAACACCAACAACAACATCAACAACAACAGCATGAACAATAACAACAACAACAGTGCCAACAATGTGGATACCAACGCCACAACCCACAGCGCAAATATCACTTGCAAATGGAACATCATCACAAGAAGCAAGAAGAACCACAGCGATGATAATAATAATAATAACGTTAACAATAATGATAATAATAATGTTTTTAAATATTGTCAAAATAATATTAATAATATATAGTTAATTAAATAAATTAATTCGCGCTTCTCGGCTGAGCGTTGATATTTACCTTAACAACCATAATATAAACAATCTTGCCGTTAAAAATTTTAAAAAATTTTAAAAATCGCGTTTTATATTGTTTATAGTTATTAAATTTACTTTATTGGTTTTCTGTTTTAATTAAATAATTTATATAAATTAATAATTACGTGTTCCTTTATATCAAATATCTTACATACCTTATATATAATGCACTG